TTCACATCGCGCGCCGGGTTTTCGGAGAGAGATATGACTTTGTTGGCGCCAAGCCATATCTGAACTATCACTACGAAGTCATCGTTTAAATGATACCATATGCCATGTGTTCCCAAACGATAAATAAATCTTGTTGTACATAAATATTATTTTCTTGATTTATGGTTGGGAATTAAAAATCCGTTAAAATCATTTCAAATTATCATAGTCAAATAAACGATTGCATCATATTTTTGCGTTTAAATCAGAAGAGTAATTCGATATTAGCTTCCTCGAAGCTTTTTTCATCGTATAAACAAGTTAGAAACACAGCAATATATGTATTCTGTTTAATTTATTTTGAATTAATTGAATGTACTTGTACACAAAGATAATAAATGATATTTTTAGGATACGGCAAATATATTTATGTATATTTACTTAACTATAATTTAAAAAAATTAAAAATGAATAAGATTCTCCTCTGTTATCAAAGTAGTAAAAAACAATTATAATGGGCTAAAGAGTCATATGCTAGGCCTCTATATTACAAAATTTTAAAAATCTTGTGCATTTTATAATAAGCTTTCTTTCTTGTAAGCAACGAGTTTCGTTGAGAAAAAAAGAAGGAAAAAGAGAATTTCCGTTGGAAAGATATTTTAATATTGTTTAACCTGTAAGTATAAAGTTTTTCGTCAAAAGAATACCTCTCGCCAAAGCACGTATTATGTGATTAAAAAGCGCAAGTGATGCATTTTATAAAGATCGCAAAAAATTAATGCAATCACGAATGTTTGCCTGGATTTTCCGGCTCCGTGAAGGAGTAGAGGAAATATTTGTCGGAAGGTTGAGTAAAATATTGCATCGCGCGGCATAACCACGAGATGATTAATCGTCTCTCACTTTAGAATTAATTACCGGCTCGGTCGGACATAATTATAGTTAACTCAACGCCGATTACGAACGATGCACCCGCTGTTCCTATTTTAATGATTTGTAGTTGCTTGATTCGCGATTCGGTCCGTACATTTTATATATATATATATATATATATATATATATATTTGTATGTATATATATAGCTGATGAACTCATGCAGAAGTTAATTCGTCGATCCAATGCATCCGTCGTTCATACCGGAAATGGATAATCGCGTTGGTAATCACGAACGCGCGCGCACGATTGCTCGCGCCATTTCGAATTCTAATTAAAAGTTAAACGGTTCCAATCGGGGCTAAATTAACATCTGCACAGGCAATCAATCCGTATTAGCAACAAGTTCGTTAATTAAAGAAGGAGAGATACGAGAAATAAAGATTGGCAAAATACTCGTCTGTAATTTTAGCCCCTTAATTCATCCGATGCTTTAATGATTCTTGATCAATCTTTTGAAATTAAAGAAATTTAAACTAATATATATTAGGTAATTTTTATATCCTGATTTAGACTATACATACATAAAATCTTAAATATAATATAATATATAATACGTGTGTATTTGTCTACATAAATTTTTGTTTGATTTATTTTCAATTTTTGTTTAATTTATTTTCAAAAAATTGATTGCGAATCATTAAAGTTAATCAAAATCTAGTTCTTATTTAACAGACATTATTAAATAAATTGCAAAGTCGACAGTTAAGATAAAAAAAATTCTGTTATAAATAAATATTATACATAATGTATTATATAATTTATAATATTATATATATATATATATATATATTTATTAAATATAATATATATATATATATAATATATTATGCACCTTTAATCATTAACTTAGCAATTTTGGTTAAATAAGGGACTTGGTAAATGAACGTGCCTTCAATGCCTTTGGTTCGCAAATGACTTGCATTAATTTTAGGCCGCTTCATTTGGTCTGATCAATGATGCACTAATCAAACTACGCGTAATTATCGTAAACGGAACAGATTGAGGTCACTAAATCAGATTTGACATCGAGTGATGCGTGATTTAGCAGCGATACCGTGATTGTCTTTAATGTAACGTTTCATGCGTGGTCAATATTTCGGAATCGATCGAGAAAACATAATTGTGGTCCTAAAATTGAATTGAAGCGCGCGGAGATGTATCCTGTGTACCGCTCTCTAAAGGAACATCCTTAACACCGATTGTCTTGTAATTGTCTTGTACGTGTGCTCGATCTACACACGTTATTTCGCCGGAGTAACGCGTTTCTACTTTAGAAATTACTTTCCTAACATATTGCGGTGACTCGTCGCATTACAATGAAAGTTGGATGGTGTTCTTTCTTCTCACGCAAGAAATCCCTGTCGGGGCAAAATAGTTCGGCGGAACGACGTGAAATAGAAATAAGCTCCGCGCGCTTCGGAAAACTTTGAGAATGGACCATGCGACCGGGATGGAATGCATCGGAATACTCGGCAGAAATAAGATAGAAATATATTCTCGTCGTTATGAAATTAAGTCCTGCGGGTAAAGCGGAAAGCAGAGATTGTATCGCGCAAAAGATTCGAAGAAACTTCTGTTGCGCTAAATCGAATTGCCGATCTTAATAGATAAGAATGCAATTAAGGAAAATTAAGCGCGCCCGTTAAGTCTGTTGCAATTTCCACTAAAAGAGACAACACAAATTTATTATCTCTAGATGCTCACAAAATAAGTGATGTGTAAAAAATTACGAAGAATAAAAATCTAAATAATGAGCGAACAACAGTAAATAAAATTATATGCGTAAAAATACGGAATTGTTAAAAGTATATATATTTATATCTTATTCTGATGAAATCATTGCGAAAAGACAAACGGCTTTTGAAAGATTATAAAGAATAAATGAAAACTTAGAATTATTAAGACTAATTATTATAATAGAATAAAATACATGAAATATTTAGTATTTCGAAAAATAAAATTGAAAAATATTCCAGTTATACGTGATGGATAACGGCCAATGAATTGATGAGTAAGAGGAGGGATTGTCTCGCTATATCCCATAACGTTTCGAAATTGCATTTGCTGCTCTGATGACAATAATTGCGTGCACCATTTACCTACCAGTAGAACTCGACTGCACTCGCAGGTAATGTAATGGGAATCGTTCGATCTCGGCGCGGAAACTACTCTATAGTATTATTCGTATACATCCTGTGATCACTGTCTGGATCTAATGATCATTAAGCTTCGCGAACAAATACAAGGACACTTCAATTGTGGCCTTGATCAGCCAATAAGCACAACAAAAAGATCTTATTAATCGTAATTCGCACTTGTCAAATTTAAATATTTTAAATATTTTAAATATTTTAAATATTTTAAATATTTTAAATATTTAAATTTGACAAGTGCGAATTACGATTTTAAATATTGAAAAAATAAAAACTTTAGTAAACTCCAAATATTCGCAAATAAAATTTATTATAGCGAGCTTTCTTAGATTTCCTGATTTTTTCTTCCCGAATCATTCTTTTTTAATATACACAGAAAAAAAACAAGTGTCAAATCAAAACTTATATACTTAAATTAACACGTTCATTGTTTTTATAATCTTCTTAGAAAAATTTAATCATTTTAAATCTTAACAATATTATAGCTTCATTCAAGTAAGCAATTATTCAAGCAATTATACTTTCCTTTAATTAACGCGATATAATCTCATTTCAAGATTTCCATGTTAAAACTAAACATATTTTCAAAACAAGAATGTCCTTTTTTTCTGTGTAGCTTTTGCAAGTAACAAATAATAAATTAAATAAATTATAAATTGCTTACCTTCAGTTTTTCCACGATCTAATGCCTTGATGAATTCTGAAGTCCTTGATCATCTTTGATTGTTTTTTCACATCACTCACTCGCGAAAATACTTATAACGCGTGTTAATTGTCAAAATTCAATTGCGCGTATTTTACATGACACTCCTGACATTAATCGATGTAGTCACATTTAATGTAACTTTATTAAATTATGACGAAAGAACAATGCGAACATTACCGTCACGCACAATGATACACGAAAAATAAGCAATCAATCAACTTGACGCGTTGCTCGGGGATATTATTTCTGTTACGCTAATAAATACTTTCATATTTTAAAATAATCTTACTACTCCATATATTCAACGTACATGAATAAATAGTGAAATTATTACAGATAACCTCTAATCAAACATTAAAACGCGATATCGAAATCGCCAAAAACTTGTAATCAAAACGAATATTACAATTCTAGTAAATTTCCAAAACAAAATACCCGTATTATGTACTTGCATTAGTTAGCAATAATACACCCGTATTACTAATAAAGATATAAATAATCGATATATCATGCTTTTTCACTATCGTATCGAATAGCAGCGCGCGATAATCTTACGTGTCACTTATTGCGAGAATTAATCAAACGATTAAACCAATAATTGTAATAATTACAGGGAAGTGATCGCGATTAGATAATATATGATATGCGCCAAAAATAACGTCGACTGTTCAACTCGAATCGCGTCGCACAAATGACACAAATGTCTTATTATCAAAGGTGAACTTAGCCGCGCAAATGCCCTGTTGTCAAAGTTACCGTAACGCGAGGCGTGTGACGTCACAAGGTTAGGACGCACATAATCTCATTCGTGCGACGCGACGCAAGCGAACAGGTACCTTCGCGTATATCATACATCATCTTTCGAAATCCCCGGTAATTGTTACAGTTAATTATTGATTAATTAATTATCGATTAATTAATTATTGATAAATGCGACTCTGATTCAAGTATTAATGATACATGTGTTTTGCGCAATATTTTTGCTTCGGAAAATTAAATTTCGATCGTGCCATTTTCGGCCGGTATTACTCGATTTAATTTTCAAGCAGAGATTCGCTCTATCGATTATCGATTATTGTATAACGTGATAAATATCGACCGAGGGATTTGGGAAGATGTATTAGTTATGAACAGTGCCGCGAGAGAAAGCATCGCGTGAATTTGGCAGCTTGATTTTAATAAACGTATTCGTATTATTGTGCGTAGCGTGTGATATCGTAGTGATTCGTACTGTTTTTCTGTCATAAATGACGCCAACAGTGCCGTGTAAAGTGTCCTGCGATCATCGAATTTTGTCGATTGGTATAAACACGTGATTATAATTACCTTCGCGAGTGAGTGACATGAAGAAGCAAAGCTAACCAAAGGAAGACGAGATCTCTAGAGGCATCGGACGATGGCAAAACAACGACATGAGGTAAATGATATATATAACTTATTTTATTTATTATTTATTGTTATTTATAAAAGTAATAGCTTGTTGGTCTCTGTAGTAGTAATGTATTTTAAAGTATTGTGAAATATAAAACATACGAGATTTTATTAGATTTTAAATTACTTAAAAAATTTATAATAAAATAATGTTGCTATTTAAATATACATATATTAAATATTATTCAACATTAAAATTTATAGTATAATTATATATTAAGATTATATATATAGATATAATAATTAAAGATTTTTTATTTTCAAAAATTATATTAATCTCTTTATTAAATAATATTTAAATGATATTTAAAGTATTTCCTGAGATATTAATTATTTTACAATACAACGTTAACTTTAATATATTTTTATTTTACACAATAATATATATATATATATATATATATATATATATATATATATATATATATTACAATTGGCTCTTATATATTATATCACAGTAAATATTATATTATTTATTTTATAATTTCAAGATAATATTAATTTATAAAAGTAATATTAAATATATGTATATAAATAAATATTTTGCTAATTGTAAGAATCGAATTTGAAAGAGCATGCTTTAATCTTTTTTTCGCTATATCTGTGTATATATAATTAAAAATTTGTAGCGGTTATTTCTGTATTTTGTGCCAAAAAATAAAACTATGGCAAAAATACAAGTATTTTTTTAATTTTAAAAATAATATATTTATAAAAGAATATAACTTTTTAAAAATCAAGGCTTGGAAAAGTTTGTATATTTAAAAATACTTGGGCGTACATTCATATATAGAGAAAATTCCTCGATTGTTTCTTGCATTTTATATCAAAAAATGCAAGAAACAATCGAGGAATTTTCTCTATATATAAGTATTACGACATTCTTTGAGAGCCTCACGATAGGAAACATAGTTTGTCATATGATTAAAAGATTTAAAAATAATATGTACATCAAAAATTTATATATACATATGAACCTGAAAAAATTTCGGTATTTTTTTCCGCATTTTATGCGAGAAAATGCAAGGAGAATTTTTAATGTCCTCTACCATAAAAAAGAATAATTTGTTAAAAGTCAGGATTTAGAAGAGCTCTGCTTTTCGCTTGAAATATTTACGCAGATTTGCATATATGCTCAAAAATTCATAATTATCTTTTTTGCGTCTCATATAAAATAATATAATTTATTAATGAATTTTATTTTCTGGATGTATTAAAAAGCTGAGAGATTATGGATATATACAAGGATATATATATATATCCAAAATTCTTTATCTATACATACACATAAATAAACATATATAGAGAATACGAAAAAATTATCTTTATCATAATTCGTGACATGGAATTTAGTGTCATGATTTTTTTTTTCAAAATCTCTCACTTATTTTTATTCGATTATTTATACACCATTTATTTTAGTTACTATAATTAGATTATGGTCATCATACGAAATTGGAGTGTCTCATAATGATCAAAATTTAATTGCATCATTATAATCATTATGATTAAATGATCACCTAAATAAACAATTTTAAAAGAGAGAGAAAGAGAGAGATGATAAAGTGATGAAACTAAAGTCCACTTCGTAAAGTATTGTGAAGATTGCATGTCACAAAGTTGAAATTAGAAATTAATATCATATATAATATTACGTAAACTAATAATTCTATTGTACAGAATTTCGAGTTAATATAATTAACATTGTATATCTTATATAAGCGACATTTTGCTATACTCGATGTCTCACATTATCAGGTAGCTTTTCAATACCGCGATATTGGCGACGATATGGTTTCGATTTCAGAGAAACTTGTGTCGTTATACACAAAGGCATTACTACGTGAGGATGGGCTTCTAACTTGAATAGGATTCTATATCGACTAAATCCTTGGCCTACTTTGGGAACAATTCCTTCTCTTTTACAAGATTGTAACCGCGTGTCAAAATTCGCGAAAATTTATTGATCCTATGACCTTCCACGGATCATTTCCTGTCCTGACCTATCGCGAAAAGAAAGAAACGAAATTTGTACCAATAGGTCAATGATTGTACGCGATATTCCTGGAAAAGAAAGTTTTCGATTCTGAGACACGATTGATTACTTATTCGTGCAATCATGGAAAACACAGTTACTAACTATACTGAGGGAAAAATTTTTTTAAATCAAATAAATTTGTTTTCTTGAAACTTTTGCTTTAAATGCAAGGAATTGTTTATTTCATTTAAGCAGAAATATTTAATTTTAATTAAATATGCATTATATTAAGTACATTATTTTCATTTATATATTTTTTATATTTAAATACTATTTTCGTAAAATATATACTATAATTTATTAAATTAAATATATTATTTTTTAAAATTAAAAAGTTTAAAATTTTTGGGAATAAAAGATGCATTTTAATAAATATTTTGTAAAATTAAAATAAAAATATTTAATTAAAAATTATATTTTTTTAAGCATGTATATTTTTTTAAACATATGTAAATAAATACTTAACTTAAGCAAACAGACATTTTGAATACAAGTAAATACGTGATTATCCACCGAATAAATAGTTTTCTTGAGTTAACTAAAATTTTTTTATTTCAAGATAATTTTTTCCTCAGTGTAGTATTTACGAGAAAGAGAAAGAGAGAGTGAGAAATGAAGATTTCTTTTTCTATTTTAATATATATAAGAAAAACGAAAGATGACTATTGATTGTATTAATTATTTAACCGATTACACGAAAATTCAATACATTCATTACTTTCTGCTTAGGATATCAACACCATGTATAATTATATAAATTTATAATTATATATATATATATATATATATATATATATATACATCAAGCTTATTATTTATTTATTATACTATTTGAATATAATATCATTGGATTGTGTATTTTCTATTTATCGATTCATATATATAAACGTTGATAGAAAAATTATATATTATTTTCCATCTTATTATAGTGCTTTCATTAATTTTTTAAACAAATAATGTATTTTTTATTGTATCTCAAATTATTTGTTTCTATTTTATATTTAATAAATTTTTTGCAACGCTGCCAATATTATGCGTATAAGACGACAACATAAAAAAATCTTCTACAAATGAGGGTATTTCTTGACATCTTGTTAAACAGCAACACAAAAACATTCTCTGCTTTTATCGACGTTTATCCGATACGCTTGAATACGCCACATGTTAAAGATGAAATATGATAAAAGAAAAAAGATATTTGATACAAAAGAAAAAGAATGTTCGTAGAAATTACGTGTAATTTTTACAAAAAATACGCATTTCCTTATTAAGAAAAAATTGATTCCAAATTAATCAAAAAATCTATAAAAAGACATTTTGAGATATAATTAATTTATTATATATTTATTTATTATATAATTAATTTGTTATATATTTATTAATTTATTATATAAACATAATAAGTTAATGAAAAAAATGGCAGCAAAACTTTCCAAGTTAAGAATTAAAATAATTCATTTGATCGATTTAAACTAATGGTTTTTTTAAATGTTGCAAGAAGATAAAGGATTACAAATTGAATCTTTAATTTTAAATTTACTGCTTTTTAACGTGCTTTTATCCGAAATGATTTTTTTTTTTTTTTTGATCAGATAACATGATCACGAACATGTTCGCGATAAAAGATTGTGACAAATAGTCATACAAGCGCACAGATTATGTTTGCAGAGAGTTTTCGGAAAATGTACGGGAATCTTGATATTGCAACACGGGGGCTGTATTCATCAATATCGGTCGATTTGTCAGAGCTGCAATCGTATCATTCGTATCTCCGTATTTTAGCGGAGATACCTCGATAAACCCTTTTCAATCTATGCGCACGAGTTTTTATAGAATTTCCGGATCAACGTAGCGAGAGCAGATAAGTGTGCAACGCAATTGAAATAGAACCCAATCGCGTCCGCAATCGACAAAAGGTAAAGTTTATAATCGGATAGTCTTTGCTGCAGTTTTGAAATTAACCGGTGGAATTCATCTAATGCACAAGTTGTGCAACCGAACCCGTCAACTTTGAGTATTTTCTAAAATGATATTCACATTTAGATGCTGGTTAATTTGCAAAATTTTCACGAAATGCTGGTTAGTTTGCAAAATTTTCACGAAACAATCCGGAATGTTCGCGAAAATTGAACAAATTACAATCGTCGCGATTTACAGTTTCGAGAATAACCTACATTTTAATCAATAATCCGGTTGCGTAACGATTTTTGCGTTGAATTAATTCCATGATAATGGCTGTAAATATAATTGTACTCTCAACATCATCAATCTCTCGTATTTAGTAAAGATTTATCACATCGTATCAACGTCCAATAAATGTGAAAATATCCAAATTTTGTGTACACATTTTCTCTCTCTCTCTCTCTCTCTCTCTCTCTCTCTCTCTCTCTCTCTCTCTCTCTCTCTCTCTCTCTCTCTCTCTCTCTCTCTTTCTCTCTCTCTTGAAGAAAAAAATAACAATTTTTTTGTAAAATATAGTGCATAAATGTTCAAACTTTTCGGAAATGGAAGGGCGAGAGTTTTACAATAAATTTTTTTTTTGCTTAACTGAAAATCTGAAGACGTCTGAAAATTTAAAATATATGGATGGAATTTCACAAGTTTCTCTCGCGTTTGCTTTTGTATATAGATTCTTTGTGTAATTGAAGTTGATCTTTGTTCAACGAACTGCCTTAGGCATCGCAACCTATAAGCGCCTGAAAATCTTGCAATTGTCACGAAATAAGTTTCAGAGGATGCAAATTACAAAACTTTTTCCTTTATTCAATTTCAAGTAAATTTTACTTTAGCAGAATCCTTATTTGAAGATTTATTACAAAAGTATACTCACGTACAATTGAACATACATTTTTTTCAGCTGCATATATACTTTTGTAGTAAATCCGTACATTTTTTATATATCCTTGTATTATTTTAATTAATTTATTTTATTTTATCTTTATATTTAT